CCTCTTACTACATAAGAGAGAACTCTTGATTAAAGATGAATAAACTTGAGATATTTTTAGTCTCAATAGTGGGGAAAATGGAGGTAAACCGATCAAGATCCCATGGTTCTGTCATCCCGGGTATACCGTAGATTTCAATCTACCAACACTACCAATCATTGACCATAGTGTCCAGGGAATTTGATTAGCAGCCATAGGTTACCTCCTCTCAGGGATCCCGAGTAGACTGAAGTGATCAAATGTGGGTTTTAATTTTATTTGGATTTTGGAGTTTACATATATTAGAATACCCAAAAATTAATTTAGTTTGAGATTTATGACTTTGTTTAAAAGTATCACAGAAGTTTGGATTGGGGTGGAACTTATGTCTTCTTTAGGAAGTAGCTCAATTATTTATATTTAGGTTGAGACTTACGACTTTCATAGAAAGTAGCCCGGGGATTTAAATTTGGAATGAGGGCTTACTGCTCTATTTATGAGATGCCCAAGGATTTGCTTTGGAATGGGACTTACTGCTTTATTTATGAGTTGCCCAAGGATTTGATTTGGAATGGGACTTACTGCTCTATTTATGAGTTACCCAAAGATGGGTTTTACAACCTAACTCTACAACAAGGCTGCCCAGATGTTTCAATTATTTGGGTAGGACTTATGCCTCCCTTATGAAGTAGCCTAAAAAAAGCGGGTCTTATAACTTAATCCTTTATATTAAGATGCTCATAGGTTTAAATTTGATTGTTTATGGTTTAAGATCATTGCTATTTATTTAACAATTTTCCTAAAATATGAGTCTGATGACTTAACTTAGAAGTTGTTCAATAGCGGGTCTTACAACCTAATACTATAGACTAGGATGCCCAAAAGTTTAAATTTGGTTTGAGTTGGATTTGGGTTAGGTTTTATGACTTCCCTTAGAAAATTGCATGGTTATTTGTAGGATTGTTAGGGTTGATGTACTTTATTTTAAAAAAATTTCTTAACACATTGGACTTAAGAATTTACTTAGAAGTAGCCCGCTAGTGGTTCTTACAACCTAACCCTATAGGCCAGGATGCCCGAGTGAGGGGTCTAAGGTTATGTTATTACCTAAATATTTCACTCAGACGTCAAACTTACAACTTCTATTAGAAGTGGCCGGTGTTTTAATTAGGGGTTAGGGATTATGTCAATTTTTACCTAAAACTTTCCCCTAAGATCGGACTTACTGCTTTCCTTTGAAATTTGCCGGGTAGTGAGTCTTACAACCAAGTTCTTATAAACAAATACTTTCTTACTGTTTCTTAAAGCAACTTTCTAGTACAAAAATTAAAAATTTTATACTAGAAAATCGCTTTAGGAAACAATAAGAAAGCCGTCCCAAATGAAACCTAAGTGGTATAAAAAAGAAAAGCATCCCTTGAAAATTGACGAGGAACATACGCATGAAACATTAAGGTGCAAATAATATCATCATAAAGTTGGTGCTCACGTTGAATAATCCCATTTTGCTAAGCTATATATGGATAACATGACTGATGTATAACATCCCTTGAAAATTTTTTTTCACAAAAATTCTTATGAACCTTATATCAACACTTGAACAAGTAAATCCGACAACTTTGGTATGGTCATCAATGAAGGAAATCAAACACAAAACCAAAATTGGGTAGTAACAAGATTGCTGCTCATATGCAGCGAGCCAAGTAAAAATAGGAGTTACTATAAGGAGTGAGGACAAGAAATTTGGGACACCATGATGTTTGCCAAAACTCACAAGAATAACAGTCAAATTTGGAAACAAAAGATGGAATATGAGTTAATTTATGAAGATGTTAGGAGGATGGCTCAAACAACAGTGTCATTGATGACGGGAAATTGCAGACAAGACAATGGAATAAGAAATATACAAATAAATACACCAAATTCAGCACCTCCACAAATAGCCTTCTAAGTGCTTGGATCTTAAAATACATGACAAATAAGATAAATTGGCAATATATAGATATGGGCTTTAGTTAGACGATATATAGATAAAAGGTAGATAAGAAATTGTGGAACATAGCAAACATTATCTAAGGAACAGAAAAAATTAAGATACCTTATTTTAAGATTGGAGTAACAACAAGAAAGAGAAAGTTTAATGTAAGGGAAAAGAATAAATGTTGGTTAAACAGTAATACGGGAGGAAGTATTGGAACCTAAGACCCAAGACATACTAGCAGAGACAGCTGCAAAAACAGCTGCAAAAGACTTAAGAGGAAGAGATCACTTGAGAGGCTAAGACAAATGATTAATTTTTTTGGAACGGTTGATCATACTCATCCTGCGAGTAGCAAAGCCAGAATTCAAGTAACTAGAAGAGTGAGCCATCTGACACCATTGGATTAGAGAAACATAAAACATAAAAGTCATGAAATTGTTATTTTTAGAGTTGGTTTTGAGCGGAGTGGTTTCATAGGTTAGAAGTTGATGCGAGGGGTAAAGCAACAGAGCAAGAAAACATATGAGTACATTGGCATGAGCAACAGATTTGTGACAAAAGCATGTAAACATACGAGCAAATGAATTAATGTGAGAGAGTGCTGCCATACAAGCATATGAGCATGCAGTTCATGCAAAGAATGTAGTACAGTCAAACAAATGATCAAGCCCGATTGCACTCAATGAGGCACATATGAACTAGAAAGTGAGTGTGTGAGAGCATGGATGTGTAAGACTTTGCGAGTGAGCACATGCGATTGGAGGGATGGAAGCCGCAATGAAAAATGGAATAAAATAAAAAAAAAGAAGAGAGATGATGGCAAAAGGCAGGAGTTGGAAGAGAGACTAGTGCATTAGCTATCGCAAATCTAATATCATGGTGAAAGAGAAAATTCATATATTTTAAAATATAGGCATACAAGGCGAGTATGAAAGAAAAAATATATTGAGGTGAATACTCTCAGTTAAAAGGATAAAAAATCTCTTAATATAGTGCTGTCCAAAGATAGCAACTTCCAAACTTCTTATTTTTCCATAACAACAAAGGCTAACACAACATCCTTGGTTATCAAAACCCACTAGTGTTAAAAAGATCACGCTAGCATAATCTTGATCCTTGAAACATACACCATCTTTGCATCCACAATTGAAGAGGAATGTAAAAAATTATCATCCTCGTCAGACCAAAATCCAAATCAAACAAAATCATACACCTTGGATGCCTTTTGGTTGACTTTCAAAAAACCCATTCATGAGCTCCCATCTGCTTATGAATGATGTTCCAATATTGCTCTGGTAGGACTGAAAACATTCATCAAAGAATCACGAACAAGTGAAAGGAATTTCTAACATCTTTCTATGCCCATCTCTCAAGGATTAAACGAAAGATGGGGAAACCACAGTGGTAAGATTACCAAAGCAAATGTCTTGGATTGCTTATTCTTAAATCTTATAGACAGAAACAAACTCAATGGCAGCTGATGCATCCATACCTGTCAACACGAAGGCTTCTCTCACGGTTTTAAGCTTGAATAAATTTTTGGGCTTTTGGCATTTTGACTTTACATTTTACTATTATAGCAACCCACTTATCATCATAATCAACATATTCCGATCAAATATTTCATTTTTAATCCTAAAAGCTACCGTAATTCCAACCTTACCCTTCTCTACTAATTTAACTAAATTTTCCTTCTGATTTTGACCAATGAAAGAAAGAAATTTCATAAGCTTTAATGTAGGCTAACTCATGCTTCCCATTCTCACGCATAATCAACAATTTCTTTCATAATAGCTTGAGAAGATTTCAATGAGAACCCAGGGAATTGAAACAGGATAGCTTGGCAAAGTAACATGCTATTGTAGAGGGATAGAAAGTTCAGAGTTATTATGGCATCTTCAAAGTTTGAAACACCAGAGGTGGTCCACATAACCTGTTGTTACATGACGGGTAATTATAACATTTGCAACTTGAGCTACACTCATAAGGTTTAGAGCATACAAATTTAAGGCCTAGGGTTCAGAGTTAAGCAACTACTTCGCATCCAATACATAACCGCTGCAACTTGAGATAAGCCTCTAAGATTCAACAGTATGTCATATCCAAGTTCAGCTACCAAAACAATTAAATATAACTGCAAAACACCCTAGATATATGACTGATATGCAGCAAAGTAGGTGGAATAACACATACCACACAAGCCAATGACATACGAATTTACTTCCTAGTAGCATGACCTATTGCTTATCTTAATTGATAGTGTTTCATTGTTCAGTTTAAACAATATTTCAGTATCTTCACTATATTATTCTATGAGAATAACTTATGATATATAAAATAAATGTTCAATAGATCATAATCCAGATGGAGGCGTAGAAACAAACCTCATAGCAATCCGTTGGAGAATATAAACAAAATTCAGTAAATGTCCTTCAAAAAAAAAAAAAAAAAAAACAACAAAAAAAAAAAAAAAAACAGCATGCAAACATTCACATATAGACCTTTATTCAAAGTCATAGAAATTTTCAATTATTTCGGCTAACATGGTATCTGTATTGCTGCATCATACACACGTGATTAATAAATCGCAGTAAATAAGGACAAAAATATCATATGAAATAATTATTCATTGAATAAAAACAATTATTGCATCATTTAGCTACCATATTTATGACGAGCAGACAACACTTCACAAACTGCACATTTCAGATTTGTTCTCACTTTGGGGCATGAACGCAATTATGATGGGGGTCACATGAAACTGTCTATAAGCCCTATAAACATAATTTGAAAATTGTACTTAATAGTTTCCAATGCATTGCTTAAATAAATTCATGATATCCACATCAAGAATTTTTCTACTATAAACTCAGTGAGGAAGAATTGAACGGTTCTGGTCTAAATTATCAAAGAAAGGCAAATGAAACACAATATTCATAACGAAGCAAAATTATCTTAAGTATTTTGATTTCGGATGACCTAAATACATTCTGATGAAATAGATAGTTAGCAATTGTTACAAGTGAGTTTTGGAAGATACCAGAATTTGTTGTTCTGCCGCAGCTACACTTAAAATATGTGCATCCTGCTTCAGAAAAGCTAAACAAAACCAAGCAGAACAAAAATCAGGAACAACCGGATATGGTTTTATACTACTAAGTCTGATACCATCTTAGAATACTTCAAATGCAACATTCGGGATATACCTGAATCTGGACTGACATTTTGGTCAACCTGAAAATAAAAATTAGGTTATTTTAAAAGTTGCTTCTTAAAGTAAAGATGGATACAAAGCAAAATTAAATGCCCTTTTATTGTTAGATTGCATAAGTTATAGATAAAAGATATGATGATCTTAAATTAGGATCAAGATATGATCTACAGAAATACAATATCTGGAGTATAGAAATAAAAAATAAAAAATTAAAATACTTTAACTTGACAAACTACTGGAAAAACCAATAACAAAACAGGCAAAAAAACAAAGGCAATGAAAAGTACAAAAATAAGTGCAGTAAACATTCATAGATGACTATAATAATTGTATCTCACAGTCAACAAAAAAAAGTGTAAGTTGCATGAAGCCCCTCAAGATATAAATGATCAATTAAATTTCAAAATAGTCCTCTAATTATTCGTATATGTCAATTTAATCTTAGAGTATCACATTTTTAAAATTTAGTATCTCAACTATACAAAATTGAAGCAAAATGATGCCTAGTGTATAAATGATGATACAAAATAGATCTCAATTTAGTCCATTATTATAAAAAAATAATCCCGATCTACCTAAATTAGATCGGGATTATTTTTTGTATCAATTTTTCAGTTCGGTGGATTACATAGGATGACTGTAATATTCTAAAGATTAATTTGGTCACATGCGAGGGGGCCATTTTTTGGATAAAAACCCTGTCAAAGAAAATGCATTTTGTCCTTGTGTTAATAGAATCATTTATAAGGAATAAAATATTCAGATTGCAATGTTCTTTTCTCAAATTATCATGCTGAAAAAATCAACTAAGCTTCCATTAATGAGGAAAACAACATGTTCAAATTTAAATGTTCTTTTCTCAAATTATGATAGAAAAATCAACTAATCTTCCATTCTTCCTAGCTTTCCTTTGCTTCCCTCCCTTTCCTCTCTCTCTCTCTCTCTCTCATTGCTAAAAACCAAATGACAACCAAGGCCAAGAAGGCAGCATAGAGGAAGCAAGCGAGAGAAGAATGGTCGAACAAGGCATCAAAAAAGAAGCCCAAGGATGAGAAGTACCTTTCAACTAAAGAAGAAAATGTTATAGATTACAAGAAAAAGAAGGTTAAGGAGGAATGAGAGATTTTTTTCCTTTTTTTTCTTTAGGAGTGAAGCGAGATAATTAGTCCAGGGAGAAGTACAATGCTTGTAATTTGTCACATAAGAAAATTATTGGTTCAATATTATTTGAAAACTACTAAAAAATCCTAATTTTCTTTTTTCAAACCCCACTCTACTTTCTCAAACCAAGTTAGTTTCGAGAATTTTTTTTTTAACAATTTACAATCCAAACAAAAAGCTATTTAAGTGATTGAACTCTTAGAATTTAGAATCCAAACAACAGAGAGCAGAGAACATAATAGGAGATTTCTCTAGACATCAAAATGTGAACTGAAAAAACAACTCCGCTTGATTGGTTGTTCCAGCAGTCCACCTTGTGGTCATCCAAGCATAAACAGCAATAAATTGTTCAACAGAAAAAATATTTCAGGATTATAAGAACACTAAAAAATCGAGAACCCTGCAAGTGGAGTTTCTTGGTTCAATAAGTCGAAGATTGTATGCTGAAAATCAAAAAAGTCTTGGACTAGAATCTGCAGGATCAAGGATTCCAAGAATTTATAGGAAAACACATGATGCTACTCAACTAGAAACTATCGCACCTTGAACAACCACTTTGCAAAAAAATTCATAACGCCTTGGCTATTACTGCCCCTAGCACCTTGCCAAATTTTTTTGAAAATTCAATTTACCCTTGGAAAACTAGCATGCATTGTATCACCCAGTCCAACAGGAATAGTGTCGGCCACTGTTCTCAGCCTTGGAAAATCACTGGACGGAACTCGCCAAGCCAACCTAGAAAGCCTAGGGGCTCCAAATATCGATTGTGGAAGAGTCCTAGATTCAGCTATGATTTTCCTGCCCACCCATCCACCTCTCAAATCTTGGAGAAACCACCCAAAACAAGGAATTCTCCCAGCAATTTCAGGCAACCTAACAGAAAAATTCCAAAAACTCCCCTCTCACCTTAGGCTTGGGTATTTATAAACAAAAACCTATAAAAAACCTAGGCCATTTAATCATTATCCTACCCTGCAAATAAAATAAGAAAAAAGAGACCTATATAGAATTTTTAGTTTAAAAAAGGTCCGCCCCTCCCAATACTATGTCAGTCAGTGCTTCGTAGCATATTTGTCGCCCCAATCAACATGAATATCTAATAGGGGGGCAATATACGGTTGATATCAAATTCTTTGATCACTATGATATGAATACCCTCCATCATTGGTAGATTGGGTCCATTAGGTTGACTTGGGATGATAGAACGATGAGATTTTTACCATGTCAACCATTCATATCCTAGCATCATCCTCACCACAAGTAGCAACAACAGCAGCCAACTTATCCAGACTATTTATGGTCAACATTATGAATCCTTGATTTTCATTTGTTCCTATTAAGTATGCTATCTAAGACAATATTTATCTCAAATCATTTTGAACAACTTAAATAAATTCAAACTTAAGTCTATGATTTTATTTTCCTAATTCTCTATCATTAATTTTATCTACTCATCTAACTTACGTATTTTCTATCATTCTATCATTTGTTGTATATGCCCAAATAAAGTCTATTTTTATTGTCTTGTCCTTATAAATGTCACTCCAACATTTCTTTTAATATAATCATTTTTTTAATTAATTCTTCCTATATTTGTCATAAATCAATCTTAACATTCTAATTTTTATTTCACTCAACTTATGACCTTTTTTGCAATCCAACATAAGGAATCATCTCCCAACAATACCCAAAATTATAACCAAACCTAACAATGATCAATCCATAGCACTTGTTGTGTTTAATTAAGAATGTTCTTAAATATTACAACTGTAATTTATTTAAAAACATCAATCCCCAAGATCTAATATGCACCATGGTTATGATAGCAAACACTTGAAGATTTCAAGTAAATCTATCAATAGAGATGAAAAACAGCAAAATGCTCCATATATCCCATGGAAAATCAACAAAACAGTAATTTTTATTGAAGAAATCAAACTAAGAGAAGAAATAAAACAAGATACAAGTGATCCTCTATTTGAGAGGAGGATCTACCTCTCCCAAATCTCTAGACGGTGCTAGAGCCCAAAAAAAACCCTAAACCTAAAAGATCTCAAATTTCAGCCAAATTCAAGATGAAATCCTAACCCTTACTAGAGAAACTATTTAAAGCAAAGAAGATTACAAAATCTCCAAACAGCCCCTAATTCAAATTTTCCCTCCCAAAATAATATTTAATTGAGTTGTTCCCTTCCAAAGCAATATTTAATTGAGTCCCACCCAAAGCAATATTTAACTGAGTTGTTCCCTGCCAAAATAATATTTAATTGAGTTGTTCCCTCCCAAAGCAATATTTAATTGAGTCCCTCCAAAAGCAATACTTAATTGAGTTGTTCCCTCCCAAAGCAATATATTTGTTCCCTCCCAACGCATTATTTAATTGAGTCCCTCCCAAAACAATATTTAATTGAGTTGTTCCCTCCAAAACAATATTTAATTGAATCCCCTAATTCAAATTGGACCGGTCTAACAGGTTAGTCCTGAAGATTATCTAGCAGAAACCTCTAAGAAAATGAAATAGCCTGCCTTAAAAAACCACATATATATAGATGTAAGGATCATCTCCATTCAATTAGAATTACATTTACTTTAGAATATATTGCCCACATTTCATTCAGCTTTATTCATAAATTTTAGAATAAAGATCATATATTTTAAATATGTTTGAATATTTGAAGCTACAATAAGACTCTTTATGGATGTGATATATATAGTATTATTTGCCCCTTTTGGATCTCTTTATATGAATGGTACCTCATTCATCTCCTAATTAGAATACATTCCCTTGTCACTTCTTAGAGATATATTCCTAGGAGGATGAATTTTACTACATTGTCATTAAAACAAAAAATATCTTACTCTTTCTTTAAAAACATTCAGCCTCAATGGAGTAAAGTTCTTGCACCAAGAGGAAGGTGATAAGTATGGATTATGTGTCAATTCATAGCATCTTAGTTGAAGCATCATTATATATTACAAAATTTTATACAAGTTATTCCAAATATTTTGAATTTATATGAAGGTTTTTTTTCATATAATCCATAATATTGCCTACATTGACTATCTCATCATAACACGCATAACATTATGGCTTATATCAAAACTGTCCTAGGTTGGGTAAACATCCTGAAATAGGCAAGTAGATAATGGTACTAAATCCTACATAGATCAGGTAAAATCAGATTGATTGCCCTCTCTTGCCTATGTGGGAAGTCCTGGTTTCCAATGCATCTCTTCTTCCATGACTCATCCTCAATAGCTTTAAATCCACCCTCAGCTCATCGTGGAGAAGCTTGCATTGCTAAGAACACCGGAGGGATCCATGGCCAGATTAAATTGACAAAGATTCTTGAATAATTATCAAATTAATATATAACATGATTAAAATGTGTATGATCTTATTCTTTTTCATGTTTGTTATTTAATTATAGAATAGTTAATCAACAGATTAAATCAGATATAATAATTTATTCTGATTTTTATACTAGGATAGTTCTATAATTAATAACACTATAAAAAAGCCTAAATTCAAATAAAGTTAAGAATTATAACAATTAATTAGAATTATAAGGTACATCATACTATAATAATAAGATTATTGTACAATGAAAAATAATTTTTGACTTTTACAATAATGTTCTTTTTAAAACGCAGGGTGCTAATTAAACTTACCTCACATAATAAATAGTCAATTATACATATACTTTCCATGCGCTTTCTAAAATTATACTTGCCTCCCCTATTCTTAGATATCACATTACATGTTAAATCCAATTCATTTTCTGAAATTACACTTACTTCCATATTAAATATTACAAAACATGTTAACCCCAATCCGTTAACTAAGAGATTCAAAAGTGAGTGCTAAGTGAAATTTTAGAAAATGTAGGGGAGTTATGCATACTATTGACTATTTACAACAAAGATAAGTGTAATTAACCTTATATCTTTCTTAAGCTTTTTGTTTTACTTATGTAATTGTATTAGAATACAATCAATCTTTTTTTCAAACTATTAAAAATATAAATATATTTTTGAAATATATATTTATATATAATAATAAATGAGTTTATGAATTTAATTTTAATTTTAATTCATATAATTGTATTTAATAATTTTTCAATTTTGTTGCAATTCTATATAATATAATGATAGACTACCATCCTTTTATGTGGAAAAAGCTTTCTCTACAATTAATGTATTATGCTGCTACCTTCCCATGCAATATTTAGCTTATTAAAGTTGATCTACAAACTTAGTGATCTAATCTGATATTTTTCATGAAAATTTGGCCATTGATCAGAATTTATGAAGAAATAGACGAGTTGCAATATCCCTACAAAAAAGCAAATTCTTCATTATTATTTAAAATCCAAATTCAATGAAATTGTTCAAGATATCTTTAATATATGAAAAAATTTATTCATTTGATTTGAGTTTTTCTACATCAAATTAATGAATCATTTATCTCACTAACTAGAATGTCTATGAGGTGTTACTTTTGAATGCTTGGTTCATAATCAAATAATTCACAAATGTTGTAAAATTTGGCATCATACCACTTTTATGGTGAATTTGGGGTGAAAGATCTTGACTTTCCAATCAGATGTTGCAACAACAACAACAACAAAAATTTATCCCACTGTGGGGTCGGCTATATGAATCCTTTTTTTCCATTATGTTCTATCAAAGTCAAATTCTCATTTAAATCTAATAAAAATATCAATTATAATATTTCTAACTAAACCTTTTTAGGTCTACCTCTAACTTTCTTAACATAAATAAAATCTAATACATCTACTTTCCTAACCTGGTCATCTAATTTCCATCTGCACCTTCTTAAGATCCCTTTGTTTGGCAGCCGGTGAGTGTTGAATCACGCAGCCAAGAGGAGACCACGTCAACAATCAGGGGTAGCAATATGAGGGCTGCACTTGCAGATTAGTGGCAAGCAATCCGAGGGTTGCAGTTGGAGATCTGTGGGCAGCAATTAGAGGGCTGCAGTTGGAGATCTGTGAGTAGTAATCCGAGGGTTATAGTTGGAGATCTGTGGGATATGATTATTATAATTGATTAGATTAAATGTCTTTCATTTTTATGTTTATTCTCCTAAAATGTATCTATATGTAATGATTCTAAGGAATAGAATTTAAATTTTCCTCTAAATAATTAATTTCTTCCTGGCATCAGCGCCTAGAAAAATCGTAAGCCTTCTCTGAATGACGACGACAAACCTTTCTCTCTTTCTTCCAAGCCCTCAATCGGCAGTAACCATCATCTTGCTGATAGCCTCTCTTCAACCATCAGTAGCTCTTGTCCAATATTCATCTTCTCTTTCAATCGAGGAAATCCAACCATGTCCATGGATAGCCAGATCTCTTCCTTTTACCCCAAACATTACCCGTTTAAACACCGAAAACTCTAGATATGCAAACAACTCTTCTCCTCTTCATAGACCATGGTGTGATAGCTGTGCCAAACTAGGACATACATGAAAGTTTGAGGAGGTTGTGAGACCTCTAAGAACAAGCCTAAGGCTAACCAAGAGGGGTAAATTGGTAATTTAAAATTTTCTTTAACAAAAAAAATCTTTTTATAGCTTTCTCAATATCTGAAAACAGACAATTTAAACCCCTAATGTGAAAGCAGATTAATTTCACGATAGCAGAAAATCAGAGCTTGTCAACCACACAGTAAATTACATAAAAATAAAAGTGCAAAAAATAATAAGAACAAACACACCAAATTTTATAGTGGTTCGGTCTAATCTGACCCACTTAAATTCACAAATGATAAGATAGGAGAACTAGTACAAATGATGGTGAACTAATGAAATTTTACTTTTAACTACAAACACATCAAATATTTAAGCTATATTATTCAATTCAGAATTCAAAAGTCACTGATTATATTTATAATATGTAAATTCAAATTAAGCAATAAAAAGGGTAATTGGTTAGGATAGTTGTTAGTATTTTTACAAACCAGAAATTATAACTTTGTTCATTTTCACTACTTCTAGACTATGATATATGATCCTATATTTATATTTTAGTGATTTTAAACTATCAGTTTTTATTTTTGATTATTTGATTAATCAAAATTGTAATTTTTCTTATTGCTTAAGGACAAGCAAGAGTTTAAGTTGAGGAGAATTTGATAAGTGTAAATTATGTATTGTTTTATATTTTTTTTAATTTCAATGAAAATGAGTTATTTTAGTTATTTTTGTGCAAGAAAAATAAAAAATAAAAAAATTCTAAGGAGACTATAGCGTCAAGGCGTCTGATGAAACAACATCGTAGCGCCACCTTCATTGACCTTCACCGAAGCGCCACAAATTGGACATTGCAGCACCGAGTTCTCTGTTTGCAAGCATTGCGGCGGCAACACAGCCATTGCCACAGCATTACCAGTGCTGTGGCATCAAAAAGTCAGGTTGGCAGCGCCGGATTCTGCCTTCAAATGTCGTGGCGTCACAATTTCTCATGCCTTGACCCCATTTTTTGCCACTCGGGCCCCGTAGCACTTGAATGTCAACAACACCGCAGCATTGCAGTTGTAACTTTCAAAGTTCACATTCTCTCAGTGAAGAGACACGACTGTTCACTAAGTAATTGATCCACATCAGCAAACATCACGGCAGTGCAAAAGTTTTAGTGCCGAGGCGTCAGTTCACTTCAATGGCCCTTCGACGCCACTCTTTCAAGCGCCACAACACCAAATGCCTTTTTGTGTTGTCTTATAAATAATTATGATGTTATGTTTGAAAGAGAGTTCAATCACCTGTATAAAATTCAGTACTTCTTTTTACAGTACTTCTCAAGTTCCCTTTTAGAGTAAAATCTAAGAGAGGCTAAGGAAATACAAGATACAATCATTTGAAGTATTTAGCCTGTATTTTTTTAAGCAACTTTGTAAGTTAAGGGAGGAGTGTAGAGGTGATACTTTGGTTCTTTCTAGTGATATCACTCTCTTGTCTTTTCATTATTTCATGAGTTTAATGAAAATAAGTTTGTACTAACAAATATTCTTGTTATATAAATTTTAAATGGTATTTTCAATATTATTCTGATATTTAATGCATATAGTGGTTATATATGTTATTAAAATATAGTGTGATGTATAGCCTCAACGGAGGAATACAAGAACAAATAATATTGAGATAGGATGTTTGCATGCCTAAACATAAGATATAAAATATTCTAGGTTCTTATGGAGATACTATAATTGTAGGAGGTCAGCATATATCATTTTCACCCCTACAAACTCGACAAAGATCTAGGGATGCATATGCTAGGGTCTCATTAGGAAAGATATGAAATTTATACTCATCAATCCAAAACACTTTTATTAAATATTATATCCAATATTTTTAATGTTTTATTCAGTGATAGAATCTCCATAATTATCATTTTTATTTTAGTAAAATAATTATTATAATTAGAGTAAATAGTAGTAGTTTGTTGCAAGTAAACATACCTCCTCATGAATTCGACACTCTACTCTATCACTTTATTACTTGATTTGGCACGTATACTTGTGTATATTAAGTGAAGTTTTATTATTTTATATCAAAGAAAATCTAAGCATTATTATGGGTTATAGAGCCCTATATTTTTATACAATTCAAAAGTTCACTCCACAACATCTATCACCGATGCATTTTAAATCAAATTTGCACAGTGTCATGTTTATTATTCATTGTTTCGATAGAATCAAATTTTGGATGTCTTTCCTAGATAGTTTTGATGCTTTGAACACATCGAAGATATGCAGCTCTTGTCATATTCAATCATATTGGTTGCAAGATACACGTGTAGCTCAATAATGATAATTAAAATAAATAAGAAATTTTGCATGTGCACCAGATTTCTTCTTCTTCTATCTTATTCTTCTTCTTCTTCCTCAACCTCTAACTAGTCAAATTACATATGCAGCTATGAAAAAGACTAATTGCCTCACAACATTGTGAGCCAAACTATAAGACTTATTGAAATGTAAACAACAAAATAACTAGAAATATCCGAATTTGCGTAGACAAGAATTTATTTCCCTAGGTTTATAGGGAAAATTGTTTATGTAATACCCATATCTTGATACCTAATATGTAAATAATAATTTAGTTTGATCTAATAGTCCCTCTTGGGATGAAATACAAAGAGATGGAAATGAAATTCATGCAATTTTTTGTAAATTAGAAAAAATAAAAGCACGGATTTGATAATTGAACTCCTTTCTCAATTCCTTTCATGCTCATTCCTGATAAGCAGCTAGCAGTTAAGGCTTTAGTAGCCTTAATCTTAGATTAAAGTTATCCACAAAATTTTAAATAGGAAGGTGGCATAGCTCTACCGTAAAGTTTGCATTTAAACCACTTGGTTCCAACTCATCATTTATGGCATACCAAGGTCAATTAAGTTTCAACATATCAGTGTCCAAACGTCGAACATTTTTGTATAAATAAAAGAAAAAAGTATGAAAGCAGCACTCATAAGAGAGAAACAAATTAAAAAGAGATGTAAAATAAAAGAAGGTATTAAATAAACGTACTTCGGGTCTAGATCCCATTGCGTCAGAAAGATTTTTGTTATCCTCCAAAAGTTTTACAATCACCTCATCCTTCTTTTCAATTGTTCTTTCAGCAATATTGCGAAAAGTGTCATGTTCTTCCTGCAAACAATTTTAACATCAGGTAAAAAAAATTACCAATGCTAGAAAAGTAGTGTAATGACCTTGAGTTTATTATATTGCAGCTTAAACTCGTCCAACTCCTTCAGCACATCACTCCCAGTGTGATCAGATTTTTCAACTTCTAGTGTAGCATATCTTACTGCAAGCATTTCATTCTAGTTTTAAATATATATGCATAATTTGCAACCTTAAGAGATCAATCAAAAGAAAGTTTATAAAAATATTACCTCTCCAGCTTTCTTCTACATTGTCAAGCTTACTTTGCCATGTTTCTCTCTCTGCCTGGTGCTGAGCTGCAGCTGAATCAAGCTTCATAGTAATTATTCTCATCTGGTTTTCAGCACCCCTAAGAGCAGCATCTCTGAAAAAGGAAAAGATTAAACTGACACACTTGATATATCATCCAGAGCGTTGTGCTAAGAAGTTCAAAGCGCAACAGTTGAATATATGTAAAGGGGGCTGAAAGATGACGTATATTGTTTTTTGCACCGTTTCTAAGTTAAAACACCATCTGTAGCTAAAATCACAGACCCCCAATGCAACCTGACCTTCATTTCCATTATATATCATAATAAAATCTTGATCCAAATGACTCCAGTCATGGTCCTTTCATTTGTGGAAGAAGACTCGCCCAAAATAATGAATGCATTATCTTTTGGACCATTCTAGTAGAGAATCAACCCTCTTGAAACTACTCCATCTTTCGATGATGCAGAAAATGGACTTTTATCAAGAAATTTCAAAGACTCGAGTGAATTCTGCATAATTTTGTTCACAGTTGTTAATTTTACCGATCCATTGAGCAATTTTAAAATATTTTGGGTAGGGTTTTAGTTTTCATAAATGCATACCATGCTTTTCAACTATCTTGGGCTGAATAGCTTCAAAAATGTCCAATGGCATAGCAAGGTTTGTGCATAATCATACATGTATATGGGGAATTGTATAACCACGCTATGAAATAATATAAGGCAGACACAGTCCTCAACAGGTTGCAAACACCACTCAGCCATTATGTTTTAAGGACCAAATTTCATTGTAATTTTACCCCAAACCCATTGATATTAGATTTCATTTCAATTATGAGTGTGAGGTTTTGGACTATAGTAATTCTTTTGAAGGGCTTGGATCAAAGCCTGATTTTAAAGAGGAACTAAAATGTTTCTTCTCTGCCAATAAATTGATGCTGATGCCAGTAGACTCACTTCTATTTCAAAAGCTGAGTAGAAGTATAAAACCAAAATATCAGAAACAATATCCACTTCTTAGAGTAGTATTTCATGCTTCAGGAGACTAAGCATAAAACATAAGAATTGCCCATATAATTTTGAAATGATACAAGAAAGTGGATGATGACTGGGGCGATAGAGGCAAAGTTCGTAGCACATTTTGATACCTAATTGTTGAAAGGGAAGAATCCAGTGTAAAGAAATCATAAGGATGAAAAAAGAGATAGAATGAATGAATGACTCACGAGGAGAGACGGGGTAAATAGAGAAAGTAGAGTTTCAAGGCTAGGAGCAAGATGCGGAATAAATCCAGGATGCAAGAAGAAAGCCCTTTCTTTAGTCCATGGACAACCACCTAATTGCAATCATAGCCCATAGACAATTTAATCAAATAACAAATAATATAATGACTTGCAAGGGTGATGACACAGTGACTTATGACCAAAGATTAAAGTTAACAACTACAAAGCAACAATTCGTGGAAGTTCTGAACAATTATATAGAGTAGAATTGAAATGTTGTTAGAGGTAGAACTGAAGAATCTTCAGATGTATTTAAAGCTAGTGAAATCCACCTCCAAGATGAGAAATGAATGGGAAACCAACCAGAAGAATAGGCAATGAATAAGAAACCAATAAGGAAAAAGAGATGAAAGTGAACAACATCTTCAACAATATTTGTAGGAGACACTCAACATAGATCCTCAAGGATATACTCTCAACTTAAGAAAGATATTTGTAGAAGCTTGAAAATCTCCATGCACATTAATAAACTGATTTGATGCTTTTATTTTTATATTTGACTTAAAAGGAGTTTTTTTCCCCTATTTCATTTATTTATTTATTTATTTATTTTAATCCCCTATTCCATTTGAGCTCATGCTTGGGCTAGGTTTGCTTTATTGGGATGAATTAATTGGTTTGGTTTGGGTCAATGATATTTGGGTTTGACAAGAACAAGGTGGTAAAAAAAAATTGTGGAGGCAAAAATGGAAGGTGAATAAGATGAAAGTTTCTATTCAAATTTTGAATTCAAGTTATCAAAATTCAAATTAGGATTCAGAGTTCATTTGAAATTTAAACAAAGGATAAGTTTAGAGATTTTGGAGGTCACGGAGGAAATTGAGGATATTGATAGAATGATTGTTTAAAGGCTAAAAAAAAAAAAAGAATAGGATAAGAGCAACCAATTTGAATTTTGAATTCATATTTTAATTGAATTCTGAATATTTAATTTTTTAACTTATTTTAATTTATTTTTTATTTCATATTTCAATTTTTTTTTAATTCTAATATCAATTTATCACATTTTTCTTTTTTATGAAGATTTTGAAAGCTAACCAAAATGAGTGGTGAAAGGAGGTAGTAAGAGTTAGGAGCTAATAATAACGATTTGCATACCACATATGATAATAGCCATAATCGCATGTAGAATTTAAATCTAATAATAAAAAATATAATAACATGAAAGGACACTAATATAAACATGACATTAAATAAGTCTAACTAAAAAACATAATAAGTCATAACTAAGGATTGAAATGTTGTTAGAGGTCCTCGATTATATTGTAGTGCTAGCAAAATTCATCCCAAATAAGAGAGACATCCCAAAGAAGAGGTGAGAAATGAGAAATTAATCATAATTAGGAAAAGACGAACAGGAACAAATACACCATCTGACTATCAGCAGCAAAACGCGTAAGCTGCACATAAATCCTCAAAAATAGTATTAAAGCCCTAAAAAAGCATCTCTAGAAGCTTGGAAGTCATCATGCATAGCAATAGACAAATCTAATGCTCTTACTTCGTAGGATTGACTGAAAGAGAAACCCTTTTACATGGTTAGGCTCCATCGGCTTAGGTCAATCAAGTTGAATATGGCCAATCCATTTGGACTAAACCAAATTAAGTTGATAGAGTTTCATTCGATCAAGGTGGTCAAAGAAAACTGTCGAGTAAAAGGTGGAAGGATATTAGGATATATATTTCAATTCAAGTGTTTAATTTCAAGTTTAAATCTAACTTTCAATTTGAAATTCAAACTGATGGTAAGTTTTAAGACGTTGATGGAGGAACTATGGAAGGCTTTATGAAGAGAATTGTTGGCATGATTATGGATGATATTGTAGAGGATACCAATAAAATGACTGCTAAACTAAGGGGTGGGGTTTCCATCTACAAACAAGGTCTGAGTTTGGGGCAGGATGAGTAAGCAAAGAATGGGGGGGAGGGACTTCTATGATTTAGAATGGGGTCATAAGATGATGCATTTGATATGATTCATAGATACATGCAAATCATCATCTTGTTGTATTGTCAATTATGATTATCAAGACAAGGCTGAGCTCTGATACTAAATGATGTAAAATTATTGTGAAAGATTTGTACAAACCTTGAGGTTGAGGAAGAAGGAAGATAACGGCAAGAAGAGGACCTGCACATAGCCTTGGGGGAAGCAATGCAAAACATCAAATATTCATTCTAATAATCACAATCATTATAGTTCACTATTACATAGCCCTTTGATCCTTATTTAGAAGGGAAAATCCTACTAAATAAGAGTAAATAAATAACTTTATTAGAGAAACACACATGAGTATTTTTATTAAAAATAAAGATAAATAAAGATTAATTATGAATTAAGAAAATAATACAATATTAATGAGATGACAAAAAATTCACGCTTGTCCAACATCAATTGGGGCAAGCATTCAAATCTTTTCTATGAATTTCTAGCTACATATGCATGCAGATAAGAGTTAATAACTGTAATGGATTTAGAATTACATTTTGGAGCAAAAAACTTGTAAATAAGCAACAGTTAAAGTATTCATTGACTATAGCAAACAACATCCTATAATTAAATCTGAACCAAAAGCATTTGTCTACTTTTTAGGAATGTCCACTTTTCATTATCACAACATAAACTCAAGGAAAACACCTCAGTTTAGAAGGATTTTCTTATTGCTAGGAAAAAATCAAACCAAAAGATTGTTAAAAAAGGTTGTTTTTATTCAAATTGAAAAAACACATTCTTTACCTTGCAGCAATTTCTTTTCGATGACTGTCCAATGCATCTTGAAGATCTTTAATGGCGCTATCCCTTACTTCTACAGCTATTGCAAACTGTCTTTTAGCATCCTAAAGTAAAAATATAAACAACAAATGAAAAGGTAATGCCCACTATAAATATGTTTATTCTATTTATTGAAAGAAAGTAACATACTTTGATTGCTTCCTCATGAACTTTCAATTGCTCTGGGTTTCTAGCTACAGCTAGTTCATTATCCTTCTTCTGGAGAAGAGCATGAGCACGCACCTTATATGCAGAAAATTCCTTTTCTAAACGGTTGATCTGCAAATCATGGATGGTGGAGAATGATCTTTCAAAACATATAATTATCAATATTGTCTAAACATATTTTACAATTCCATCAAAGATAGTTACAAAATTACACAAGTTTAAATTATAGAAACAACATCAAACCCTTAACCCACTACCTGGGGTCGGCTAAATGAATCTTTTTTCTCCATTGAGTTTGGTTAAGAGACAATTTCTTATTTAAATAAAATTAAAAAAATATCTAAAATTAAAAAAATATGTAATTAAAAAATAATTATTTTTAATACTTTCTAACCAAGAATTTTTAGGTCTATCTCAACATTTTTTAACATGGGTCAGATCTAATACATCTACTCTCCTAATGGGGTCATAAGAAGGTTGAGAATTTATGCGACCAAATCATCCAAAACGACTTTCTAATCTTATTTGCCGTTGGAGCTACTCAAACCTTTTTCACGTATATACTCATTTCGCATTCCATCTCTAAATATAAAGCCACTCATCCACCATCTCCATCTCTGCAACACTTGACTTAATTTGATGCTTCTTTTTAATGGCTAACATTCTGCACCATCTTATAAAATTTCCCCTTAAGTTTGAGAGGTACTTTTCTATCACACAAGAAGCCCGATGCATTCCTCCACTTCAACCATCCAACATGAATTCTATGAACAATAATATTCTCATCTATTTCACCATTGCTTTGAACAATATACCTAAGATATCTAATGTGTACTTTTTTTAACAACTTGATCACCCAATGTCACAATCCCACCACTAGATTTATTGATGAGGGCATCAGATTTCGACATGTGTACCATCGCCGGGGACGACGATAGGCGGCCCTGATTCAGAACCTTTATCTGTGATGCTTTAGTTCTTTTTTTCATTAGTTTATTTCATGTTTCCGTTTGTACCCCTATGAGGGATGTAGCACTTATTGTAGCCCAAGGGCATTTTCGACTTTATGCTTTTATTTTTTTTCTGTCAGCCTATATATAAGGCTTGTATCATTGTATTTGGATTATTGATGAATGAAAGAAAATTTCCCCTTGTTTGTTCTCTTTGTGAGTTCAATGACGTAGAGATCTCTTAGTGAGTTCTCGTGTGTTCTCTTTGTGAGTTCGCGTGTGTACATCGACGGAGATTTGAGATCCTTAATCCTTGTCTCCCCACCACCAAGACACCAAGTGGTAAGAGAAGCAAGAAGAGGCCGAGCCCCCTCCCCATTCCGGTTTTCCCTTACTCCACCCGCCGACCACCCAAGCTTTGCCGGCCACCACCTTGCAGCCGGCCACCACCTTGCGCCGGCCACCTCCCACTTTTCCTCTCACCACCTTTCTTTGAAATTTGAAATTTCAATTTTCAAATTTTCTTTCCAAATTTGAAACTTTTATTTTTTGAAAGTTTGGGAATGAAACCAATTAGTTAAATTTAAATTAATTGGATTTCATTTCAAACTTCCTAGTCATCATTTCATATTTGGTAACTCTCTTCCCCCCTTCCATAACCCCTCTCTCTCCAGCATTACCGCCGGCCCCAATAATGGGATTTCCCATTGATTAGGCAATCAATTCCCCTCCATCCTCTTGATTTGTTGGAAATTCAAATCAAGCCTAATTGGCCTCCCCTCCACGTCATACCCAAAGAAAATTGAAGATTATTTCAGTTTTTTTTTTTATTATTTTCAAAACCTGCTCCTATTGCCACTACCGCCGGCTCCCTTGAATACTCCCCATAATTGCAATTTCAATTAATGCCTTAATTACATTAATTGCAATTTCAAAATTCCCTAAACTTTCCCACCTAATACTCCAAAACTGAAATCAAATTTCAGTTGTGCACACCTAGCCCGCCCCTCTCCTCCTTGCTCTACCGCCGACCGACCCTCTCCCCTAGCCAAGCCGCCGTTCCACCCTTCCTCCTTGGAAGATCTTACTTGCGGCGACTTTCCGGATCCACTCCAAGGATGCATGGACGAACCCGAGTTGAACTACGGGTTTGAATACGACGACCGCGGACGAGTGAACATCCCCCGTTCTCCTTTCTTTGACGTCGGATTCGACTTCGACGACACCGTCGAGGAGTATTTGGCCAGGATCGTACCCACTTTGATAGAGACCATCGACGATCATTTTTCAGTTTACACTTGGATCGTCGAAGGCCGTTGTCTTCCACCACCTCCAAGACCCGCGCCGACCTCTTCCTCCCTACGGATCTACGGCACCCTCGCCCTAGGAGTGATCTCATCCATCGTGTGGTTCTTCTTCTCCCAACAAGCCTAAGAGTAGGTAAATGAGAGCGGCCTCAAGGTGAGACAATCGCTTTGTTAACCCTGGGATTCTAGTTGGTTTCTTCATTTGCTTTACGTTTATTAAAGTTGTTATTTTCTTGGTCTTGCTAATTTAGGTGTAAGTGCTTGTCTAACCGTAGTTAACAACTAAGATTTCCGAAAAGCTTGAATTGAGAACAAGATTGAATTTGCAATGTCATTACTTGAATAATATTTTGTTAAATCTCTAAATTCAAATCCTGGATCTACATCATCTATTACTACTAAAATTATGCTCCATGTATTCAGTTTTATATCTACTCGCACAAAAACATTTAAATTCTAAGATTGACTTCCATAATTCAAGTTTTTCACCAACTGCCTATGTAGTCTTATCAACAAGAAAATATCATTAGCAAAAGGCATACACCAAGGTACATCCTCTTGCAAATGTCCAGTAAGAACAACCATAAAGCAAAAAGATACGGGCTTAAAGCTAATCCTTAATGTAATTCAACTGAGATAGAAAAATACTTGGTCAAGTAACAGCTCCTGTATATTGTATACATATCCTTAACAACTCACAAGTTCAAATTGATTGTTTTAATTATAAAATTGATGTGACCTTTCAATCATAACATATAGGACAATCTTGTGACAACAATTACATTGACCAAGGATCAAGTGTCAAGATTTATATATTTTGCTTCGATATATGTGGTATCGGCTATTTGTATCCGAAACCTTTGTATTTTGATTGATACTTTTTGGTGGACGCATATTTAATGACCATGACATAGTTCAAATACTTCAATAAAGAGGTAACAATAATGTGATTTTGATGTTAGTAAAGAAATTCAATTTGAATTATAGATTATATGTATTCCTTCATATTTTGGATGTTAGCAATGAAATTCAATATGAATTATAGATCATATTTGTACTTCAGTCAGTTCCTCTCCTACACTCTGACTATCATACGCTAATTTTAATTCTTCTATTGTTAGCCTAACTACTAAACCAATCAATCTGAGTAGATAAATAAATCAATAATAGAAGTAAAAGAAAAAATAACTGCAATACAACAGCAGAAACAATTTACTTGAACCTGAAATTCTAATTTTAATCTTTTTTTTTTATATATTTTTAAAATTTTTGCTTCATACATAGATTATTTTCGGAAGGCATAGACTAGAATCAGTAGATGCACATCTCTTTGAACAGAATGTACCAAGACAACATCAAACTGTAGGACACAAGTTCTTTACCGCTATCCATGTTTCCAATGTCTAAGCAGTTAACTAGTAAATGGCATGCTACATAGGACATAGCATACGTAGATCAAACAACAAGCACTTGCCTGCTGTAGTCCTGTTAGTTGTAAATGAAGTGGAATGAGAATATGACGCAATAAAACTAGTGCAATGTTACAAATTCTAGCTTTTCAACATCATTAAATAGTCTTTCATCATGTTTCAGGCCTTCCAGCAAATGGTGCTACTTGATCAAGGTATACTGCAAGGTGAAAAGGCAACCAAAAAATAAGAATCAAGATGCCTCATTTTTTTACTGTTCTCATCAAATAGAATGCAAACATACAACACACACTAAAATGAATTATTAGTTTCTCTAACCTCTCACATTAGCTCCTAAATTACTTTGGCTTTCACATAAATATGATGAGCGTTAAAACAGAAATGCGAATCCAATTTTTCTTCTCCATTGAAACGTGATTAATAAGAGATCATATAGAATTTGACTCTACATAAGATACAATGGAGAAAAAATGATTCATGTTGCCAACCCCACGTAGTGGAATAAAGACTTGTTGTTATTGCTGTTCCAAAATTGGACTCTTAAGGAATTTCATGGGAATATCCAGTGCACTGGCAAATAGGATATTAAAGAATATGCACACAGTATCCTATGAGCCTTCTACACATTTTAGCTATCAACATAAAGCATGCGTCCAAAATAAAGATAAATTTGTAGCTTAAGGTAATGAGGTGTACCTATATTAGCAAACGGAGTGTTGTAGAGCATGTATTGAACTATTTATGTTAGTGATGGTAAATGTTAACAAAGAAAGTAGTAGAGTGATAATATTTTTCTTTTCCATACAGCCTCCATGCAGAGAGCCAATGACACGCAAGGAAAGTGACATTTCATCTAAATTGCACAAATACACTCATATGTAAAAATTCCACAAAACAGATGAAAACTAAAACAAATGCACTCATGTGTATGAATTTCACGCAACAGATGACAACTAAGAGTTTATTCCATATTCCAAAAAAATTTACACCTCGTCTTTGGCAATCACTAGTTCAGCTTCTCTAGCATCCAGCAATTGTTTTTGCATAGACAATTCAAATTCCAGCTGACCTACAAGTCAGTAGTAACCTTATAAGCTATTACTTCCCAAAGGGTAAACTGGTTGCAATTGCTACCCACAGAAAAACCAAATATACTTCTCATTTTAGCGGCTTCAATCTCAGATCGCAGGTGGCTGCCCTCAGATGCCTCCAACTTAGCTCTTATAGCTTGGTTTCCAGCTTCCAAATCTACTTTTTCCTTCTCCTGGTAAGATGATAAATTCAATAAAAATATAACTTATTAGGATATCAATACTTTGTATCTTTTTGCTGATATGCTGCATGAAAGGCACAGCATTTGGAAGTTAACAGAGATAATAAAGCAGGCAACAAATAACCTAACTGTATCGGGTATCTCATTATATAAGTTTAACAGCGCAAACAAAATATTCTTGGATTTTCTTCAAGATGAACTAACATGCTTCAAAATTTCAAAACCTCATGCTGAAAACGAAGGTAAGAAGAAAATTCTAAAAAGCAATGATAAAATCCTATTCACAACAATATTCTTTGTATTTGTATTTTGTTGGTTGATTGTTTCTACTATTTTATTTTATTTTCCAAGCAGGAACTATATTTGAGTTCAAACACAATTAGTCACCTAAGTAGAACATTCACATTTATCAGCACAGAAGTGCTCAAATTTCAAGGAAAGTTTTGTACATGAACGAACTAATGAATTTAGGTTTTTAATGTGGTCTTATCCAATAATCCTAAATAGAACGACCTTCTTTTCTTTCTGCTAGCAATCTTTCTATAAATAATTGGGACATGTACCCAATAGCCAACTGTAAAGTTCAGCAAGAAGTTGTATGCAACCCTATCCTTGCATTTTGTACATGAACGAACTAATGAATTTAGGTTTTTAATGTGGTCTTATCCAATAATCCTAAATAGAACGACCTTCTTTTCTTTCTGCTAGCAATCTTTCTATGCATAATTGGGACATGTGCCCAATAGCCAACTGTAAAGTTCAGCAAGAAGTTGTATGCAACCCTATCCTTGCATTATAGATTGGTTTTCATAATTTGAATGGATGACTTTAAAGCCAAAATAAGGAATTAACATTTCTCCTAAACCCACCCTCTCTTTGTATATCTAATTAGCTACAATAAAACCATCAATCATACCTCAGTCGGGAGCACATCACTGCCAACTCTTTTTGCCCTATTATAGTGAATAAATTCAATGAGGAATGTATAGTGCCTTCACATCCAAAAAACAAAACAAAAAACGGTTATAAATTAGAGGTAACTTTGAACCACAAGACTTCCTGATGTCGAATCATACTGCACACACAACATGGCAATAGAAACTATGCAGATATTGCAGCCCAACAAAGCTACAAAAGTCTTGCTATTACAATGGAAAAACAGGGAGTTTAACAAAGCCTCATTACAGAATAAATATCTAAAAAAAGGTGCAAGAAATTTACATAAAATTACAGATAAAAACTGATTAATTTATAAAACTCTTCTATGGTGTAAGTACTAATAACCCAAACGTAAAAAGTAGCACTAAATTTCAAATTCACTTAAAAGAGAAACCATCTGAGAATAAATATGTAGAAAATAAATATCGGAAATCATACATGCTTATCTTTGAGTTGAATAAGCTCCCCTTTTGCCTCCTCCAACGCAGCTACAAGACGTGCAGCTTCGCCAGATGAAATGACTTCTATCTCCGCTAGTTTTGAATCTTTCTCAGCAAGAAGCATCTGCTTAGATCATGACCCTATTTGTCTTAGAAAATAATTATATTCAATATTTAAGAAAGGTCATGATAAGCTTAGAAAAAAAGATATTCAATGAAATTATGAGTAATACCACTATCGCTTAATATGTGCACATTATGATAGTTAATTAAGCCGATTAATCGAAAAGAACGAGGGTTGAACTGTCTGGCTAAGCATTAAAACTGATTTTGGTTTGAGGATTTGGATTTTCATCATAGATAGAAGAGAGGAAAGACTCGTCCACTAAGTCAGAGTCATTGGTACCGAGTAAGAGAGAATTTATTTGGGCAACGATGACGGGGGCAAAATTTCGTGTCACAGTTAGAACATAGACCTTTTCACAATGAAATTGAATTTCAGCCGGTGAAGTTTTCGGATTGGAAGATTTGGAGATTTAGAGATAGTTGGGGTAGAAGAGGGAAGAGGAAGCCGAGAAATGGGAGGTGATGTAGTGGTTGAACTGATGCTAGAATGTAAAGAATCGGGTGTAGTATTTTTGAGAGGAGGGTATGATTTTCGCCAAGAGGAAGGAATAGAAAAAAAATCTTGAAATTTTTTTCAAGACGACGTGTTGATTCCATAGTATCTAAGAGGGATGTAGTTCTGCCAAGAAAAAATTCACAGCATATTTCTTGCTTAAATCCTGATATGAAATAACTAATGAATGTGGATTCATACAAAGTAGGGACTTTAAAAGCAAGATTTTTTAATGTTGTTTGGTATTCTCGTATAGAACTTTGTTGAGTTAGTTTAGAAAGATTCCCATGTAAATCTTCATACGTTGAGATACCAATCATTGTTGTTAGGGAAGGATAAATACGGGCCAAGAGAATAATTGGCCCTTCATACGAAACCATTGGTACCAAGTAGTTGTCAGACCTTCGAGGTGAAAAGACGTGACGCGAACACGATAGCATTCGGGTGTATTATCAAAATCAAAATATTCTTGTGCTTTAAAAATCCAAGTTTCTATATTTGTCCCATTAAAACGGAAGTTTAATTTTCATGGTTCTAAGAAAAGAAAAGTTCGTAGGAGATGGAGGTGGGTGATAGAAGAGATTTGGTTATCCGATCCCGTAATGCCAGTCGAAGATCGAGAATCTTGATGGGGTGAGGGGTGAGGTTGTTGAGTGCGTATGGTGTCAAGGCGTTTATCAACCAATTCCATGAAAGCATGGAATTGTTGGTAGAAGAGTCAATGGATGCAAATTTGAGATTAGCTTGTTGGAGTGATTTTTGGATTTCCGAAAATTGAAATTATTGGTCGGTTTGCTTGGTCCATAAGGCTTCTGCTAAATCAGCATTTTTCATAGTGTGAAATTGATGGAGGAAGAGAAAAAGATAGTGCCCATATGGTTTTTGAAAACAAGACCTTGCGATTGTGAAAAGAGAGGAAAACTAGTAGAAAATATATATTAGGAAAAGAAACAAGAAAATAAAAATTAACGAAAAGAAAAACAGAGAAACTAATGTTAGTTTAGCAGTGATGAACTAAGCGGGAAGTGCCCATTCAACTGCCAAAAAATAAAGATCTGAGTTGTTGGTCCGTTGAAACAGGTTGCTAATGGAAGGGGAAATCCAAACAACTGCAATAAGTTGTTTCTTGTCAAAATACTGTAGGGATTGTGGCTGGAATCTAGGGTTGTTGTTTCTTGAAAACAACGGTTGCAATCCATATCAGAAACAGCAACTATAATAGGTGGATTGTTGTTGTTCTTGAAGGTTTTGGACTGAGAAGAAGGGGATGGAGACAGCGGCTGGAAAGAAGTATGAGCAGAACCGAAGAGTTGTGCCCAATCTTGTGGAAGAAGTGTGTTTGGAATGTTGTTGATGCTCAGCTAATTGGAGGCTACGAATAGATGGTGAAAAGCTGCAGTTGACTGGAAGAAGGTGCGCCTGGAAGGCTGCGGCTAATTGGAGGCTAGAAAGCTGATGTAGGCAAGGGGAGGGGGGGGGGGGGTCAAATCAAATCCTAAATTTGGTGGACTTTGGGTTGCTTGTTGCCTCTCGTTTGGGGCCTTGGCTGCTTCGGTTTTGAGCTGATTTTTTTGAGAACTAAGTGGTTCTAGCTCATAAATGTTGAGCTGTGACTTCAGCTCATTATATTGGTTAGGTCTCCTACTTTTTAGCTCATTATGAAGAGTGAATGTGGTTCTTCTCCCCTTCTCTGTGGCCCTTCGGTTTCCCCCACTTGGCTCCTTTTTCCCGTGGCTGGTTCCTTCCCCTTTGCTGGCTGTCCGTCCAGATCCCCTTGTGGTTCCTAGGTGCTGTCCTTTTACCGAATTTGTGGTGGCTGTTTGGCTGCTGGGTTCCGTGATGTACCTGCCTGGATCCGTGGCCTTTTTCCTGATTCTTTTGCTGTGCCGTTTGGGATTTTGGTATAGTGAATGTTGGCCTTTCATTCCCTCATAAATGTGTGGATTTGAAGAGGTTTTGGGGTTGTTTGTATTCCTCTTTTATGCCTATATATCGAAGATGTTTGTGGCTGTTTTAGGTGGTGAAAAATGTTATTTTTGGAGTAAGAAAACCTGAGGGTTTCTTGGAAAAAGCTTGAGAACTTTGTTCCACTTCTTCTTCTACTTCTATGGAAATCTTGCGAGCTCTTTCCAACCTTCGTCTTGGTTTCTAATCTCTTTTTTCTATCCGCAAGTGCCACCTCACCTGTATCCTTCTTCTCAAATAAGAAATGCAACTTTAGGTGTTTGTCTTGTTAGAGTCGTTTGTAGTGTGTTTGTGTTTCTAAGTGTCTTGTAAGCATCTTTAATGCTATGTCAAAAGTTTGTAAGTCCTTTTATATGATATAAAAAGTTTGTGTTTGTTTTAATTTGTCTAGTTTTGTGAGTTCTTATCGTTTTTTATTTCTTAGAAAGGTCTTATTTTTGTGATAAAAATTTTGGGTCCCTCCCCAAATTTTTGATTGCATCAAAAGCTGGCAGCAGTGGACTGATGGACAGATGGAAAGGAGGGAAGCTGATTAGCAGAAAGAGGAGAGGGAAGGTAATGTTAGTACGACAAGAGCACCATTTGATAAGCTTCTTGAAGGATCAAGAATATTAGGCATCTTTAGAGTAGGTGTTAACTCCCAAAGAAAGAGAAGAGATATGAAAAGAAAGGAGAAACTAGATATTTTATTCCATGATCATTTTGTTTACAACTAGAGAGGTATATGTAATGATTAGATAAACCAACAAATTACACAAACCGTTCTACCTAAAACAAAATTAAAAAAAAAAAAGACTAGACTAGTGCTTTATTGCATATATGGACCCGTTAGTTATTTTACGTTGCCAAAACAATGTTGTTATTATTTAAGAGTCATGAAATATATTTATTCATTCTTCTTTGGTAAACTTTCGTAGTTGTTGGTTGTTCCGCCTTGCTTGTAGCACATTTTGCGCATTTGGATTACACATTTTTTGGAACCAATACAATATGCTGATTTCTAATTGGTCACCAATGCATGTTCAATGCCTTTTGCTGCCACATTAGCTTGGCTCTATAAGTACAAGAATCTGCACGATAACACATTTATGCTACATCCATGTCACCCGCAGTTCTTGCTAGCATAACATACTGAATCACAGTAGCATTGATGTAATAAAAAATTTGGGAGAGGGACCCAAATTTTTAATCACAAAAAATAATAGACTTACTAAATAAAAGAAAGACACAGCTATACTCAAAAGGAGAGACAACTTAGAAACTTTAGAACAAACTCTTATATTTCATATAAAAAGAACACTTACAACATAAAGAAACACAATACTAAAAGACACCTTTTATATCATAAATACTCTTACAAGACGTTTACAAAATCATAAACATAAACTCCTAAACTTGCTTTCCTAAAGAAGAAGGATACATGTGGCGTCGAACTTGCGGAAAGACGAAAGAGGTTAGAAGCCAAGACGAAGTGGAGACAAGCTCGCAAGCTTTCTCAAAGAGAGAAGGAAAGAGGGAATTTGGACAAAGCTCGCAAGCTTTTCCAAACAACAAACCCGCAGGTTTACATTTTCAAAAATCAAATCATCACTTGCTAAAACAGCCACAAACCAACTCATATTTATAGGCAAGATAAGAGAAACCAAACAGCCACGATGTCCTTTCATATTCATAATATAAATGAGGGAAATGAAAAGCCAACAGTCAACTCTAGGAAACAAAGCACCAAAGCCACGGAAAAGCCCCCCATCAGCCACGGGAAAATAGCCCAGGCGGAACCCAAAGAGGCAGCCGCAAAAGCCAAGGAGGCCCGCACGGAACCGAAGCACCAAGGCACGGGAAAGGTCACCCAGCACGGAAAACCAGCAGCCAACCGGGGAAACCAAGGGGCCAAGGCACGGGAACCCAGTAGCCATTCACGGGAACTAAAGGGTCAAGATCCACCATAATGAGTTTCAATAAACGATCTACCTTTTAGTTCAATAAATAAACTAAAAAACAACTCGTAATGAGCTAACTTCCAGCTCAAAAATTAATGAGCTAGCAAGCTCAAGTGAAGTCAAAACTAAATTTTTTTGGGTTTGATTTGACCTCCCCTTTGTCTACATCAGACTCCCCTACTTGAGAACTCCTCCCGATGAGTTAGCTTTGTTCTAAAGGCGTTGCATCAAACCAAGGCTTGAGATTGCTCACTTGACACCAAGACTCAAATGACAACATGACTCAAAACAAAACTTACATGATAACTAACATGACATCAAGACACACACGACTCATAAACCTAAGACTTCCTAACCTGTCTCTGATACCAAATTAGTGCAATCAAAAATTTGGGAGAGGACCCCAAATTTTTTATCACAAAAACAAACTTTTCTAAATAATAGAAAAGACACAAAAGGACACAAAATAGACGAATAAACTAAAAACAACAACTTTTCTTCATAATATAAAAGACTTACAAACTTAGACACTTACAAATGACTCAAACAATACAAACACCTAAAGTTGCATTTCTTTGAGAAGAATGATACAGGTGACGTCGAACTTATGGAGAGACGAAATAGGTTAGAAGCTAAGACGAAGTGGAGACAAGCTCGCAAGCTTTCTCAACGAGAGAAGGAAAGAGGGAATTTGGACAAAGCTCGCAAGCTTTTCCAAACAACAAACCCGCAGGTTTACATTTCCAAAAATCAAATTATCACCTACTAAAACAGCCACAAATCAACTCATATTTATAGGCAAGAGAAGAGAAACCAAATAGCCACAATGACCTTTCATATTCATAATATAAATGAGGGAAATGAAAAGCCAACAGTCAACTCCAGGAAACAAAACATCAGAAATTGATCTTGTAAACGTTGCTTCTTCTTCATGTACCTCTCTGTACACAAGTGCATCCATGATTGAAGTTTGTACAGTTCATACTGCAGAGGATTTGATGATTTTGATGGAATCCATCTATCCATTGAAAAAGGGTCTTCAATTTCTTCAGGCTTGCTTTCTTCGATCTTTTTGTCTTTTTCCATTTCTAAAAGTAAAGACTCAACCTAAAGAAACTTAGACTCACACAACTTGACTTGACTCACCAAGATTGACTTGACTCACAAGACTTACTTGACAAAAAAATTAGGATTTCCTAACTTGCTCTGATACCAAAATGATGTAATCAAAAATTTGGGAGAGGGACCCAAATTTTTTATCACAAAAAATAATAGACTTACTAAATAAAAGAAAGACACAACTATACTCAAAAGGAGAGACAACTTAGAAACTTTAGAACAAACTCTTACATTTCATATAAAAAGAACACTTACAACATAAAGAAACACAATACTAAAAGACACCTTTTACATCATAAAGACTCTTACAAGACGCTTACAAAATCATAAACATAAACTCCTAAACTTGCTTTCCTAAAGAAGAAGGATACAGGTGGCGTCGAACTTGCGGAGAGACGAAAGAGGTTAGAAGCCAAGACGAAGTGGAGACAAGCTCGCAAGCTTTCTCAAAGAGAGAAGGAAAGAGGGAATTTGGACAAAGCTCGCAAGCTTTTCCAAACAATAAACCCACCGCAGGTTTACATTTCCAAAAATCAAATCCTCACTTGCTAAAACAGCCACAAACCAACTCATATTTATAGGCAAGAGAAGAGAAACCAAACAGCCACAATGTCATTTCATATTCATAATATAAATGAGGAAAATGAAAAGCCAACAGTCAACTCCAGGAAACAAAGCATCAAAGCCACGAAAAAGCCCCCCATCAGCCACGGGAAAACAGCCCAGGCGGAACCCGAAGAGGCAGCCACAAAAGTCAAGGAGGCCCGCACGGAACCGAAGCACCAAGGCACGGGAAAGGCCACCCAGCACGGAAAACCAGCAACCAACCGGGGAAACCAAGGGGCCAAGGCACGGGAACCCAGCAACCATTCACGGGAACCAAAGGGTCAAGATCCACCATAATGAGTTTCAATAAATGAGCTACCTTTTAGTTCAATAAATGAACTAAAAAACAGCTCATAATGAGCTAACTTCCAGCTCAAAAATTAATGAGCTGGCAAGCTTAAGGGAAGTCAAAATCAATTTTTTTTGGTTTTGATTTGACCACCCCCCCCCCCCTTTTGTCTGCATCAAGCATCATATAGAAAACATTTTCATCATCAAACTCTCATACCGCACAAAACATGAACATAGAATGATCCAGAATGGACAACTGTTCAAATTATTCTGATTTGAAGGACTCTGGTGGTGGCTATAGGCAGCTGGAGGTGGTGTTGTTTGGCATGGGTGGTAATAGTCTGCAATGACTGTGCTGGAGGGTAATCAGGTTATCGTGGCAATGGCTGGTGGTGTCATGTTGTGGTGGAGGAAAGCAGCTAGTGGTGGGCAACAATGTGGCAACAACAGGGACGGAGGACGTAAATGAAATTGATGTTTTCCCTTTATAATGGCCAGTTGGATGTATGCGTAATTTTGTTTAGAAAGAATCAGCTGTACTGTTAAAAAAGGTTGATCTGCATATGAAGAAGCTGAGATGTGCATTCGTAACATGGTCAATAAGATGATAGGGGGAAAGTAGGAGTATAATACATAATTGGGAATGTTTTGATCATAAAACCATATGCAAGGTAAATTTTACTTTTACCTGGAGAGAAGCTATTGTTTCAGCTGCTTTGTTTCTTTCAGTTAGAAAATCAGCTATTTGTGCTTCCAGGCTTCCTACGTGCTAAAGAGAACTAGTAATAAGCAAATAAATAAAAAGGAAATATATACATAAGAAAATAAATAATATATATATATATATATATATAGCACAGATGTTAATTCAATAATAGCATAACAAATGTTCTTTAAAGAATGTTGATATGTTTGTTTGTTCAATAGTATCGTAGTCAGTAGGCTACGGTGGTCAAAAGAGCCATAGCCGGTGGGCGATAATGGTTGGAAGGGTCGTAGTCATCAGATGACGGGGGGGAGAGGGGAGCGGGGGGCAATTGATGGTCCTTGGCTCTTGGGCTGATTTGGTTCCTTGGTTTGGGCTTGGTTGTCTCGGGTTTAGCTGCCCCTTTGGTTAGTTGTTGTGTTCTTCTACTAAACTCAGCTCATTATGTTGCTATGTAGCTTAGCTACCTTTTTAGCTCATAATTGGAGTGGTCCTGGTTCTTCCCATCTCTGATGTGCCTTCGGTTTCTCTGCCTAACTCCTGTTCCGGTGGCTGGCTGTTCCTCTTCCCGTGGCTGACCGTTCTTGTTTCCCATGTGACCTTTCGGGTGCTGCTCTAGGCAAGGCCTTTTGGCCTTTTGTCTCCCTTTTTCTGGTTGGTTCAGCTGGAGGTGGTTGGGGTTGTTTGGCTTTCTCTTTTCACCTATAAATAAGGGTTGTTTTAATGCATGAATAGGATGTTATGGATGATTTTTGGAGCATGAAAACCTGAGGGTTTTTGGATATCTTGCGAGCTATGCCTCTTCGTCTTCTCCTCCTTCTATGACTTCGTCTCGGACTTCTTCTCTAATTCTTCTCTCCGCAAGTGACCACCCATTTGTATCTTTCTTCTCAATCAAGGAAAAGTTGTTTTAGATGTTTTTATGTTCTAAAATATATGAAAGTTGTAAGGTGTCGTTTTGTTTCATTTTAGTTGAGTTTGTGTTTGTTAAATTTTTTTTTTTTAAGGAAGACGCTTGTTTATATGCAATCTAGCTACCCTAGATTTTTTATTGCATCACTTATATAGCCTAACAACATTACATTCACATTCGATGTCGCATTTAATTCATTCTTTCCCCACATTTCTCCTAGTAGGCCCCTAGCTTCTGCTTAGTTTGTCCCTGAACAAAACATCATTTTGGAGGACTAGCTATCATACCAAATCTAACAACCCAACCTGTAGTATGTGAATTATTTTCCATGTTGTCCTACACATCCCATACTAGGCTAAACTTTTACTGTTAGGCAACTTTTTCAAAGGCCGCCTATCCCAAGTGTGCTCTATCACTAGAATGCTATATGGCAGAGTTCCGAAAAAATTTACTCTTTACAACCTGATATATTTGACCCTAACCCTTTTCTTATATAGCCTAGTATAGTAAGCTTTCATGCTTTTCAAATTTAGGATTAAATTAATCCTTACTCCCCATTTGGTCCTACGAATCTATCATCCTACAAATCTGACAGGAGCCACTCCATGTATGAGCCTTCGCCCTAATAATCACTCTTTGCCCTCTTTGAACCACTTTCTTTGAATTTAGGATACCACATTGAATGGGAAATAAAACAACATAATAGACGACTATTAAAATAATAATAATATTTCTAAAGAAAATAATTTTCTAAATAGCACCGAGCTATAATGATTGGTAAAACTCAATACAAAAAAATACAAACATTTTAATAAATTAAAACATTCTAAGTATGTATTTGACCATGCACAATAGTAATAATATATCCATTTAAATAATATCTAAGAATAAACTCTAATCTAACTATTAAAATAATAATTTTATAGCTAATGAGTAGAATTTGACAAAAAAAACTAATCTCTAATATAAAATTGTATGTATACATCAATCAACAAGTGACTACTTAATAGGTCAATTGGTCATTAAAAAAATTATATAAAAAAAAAAGTTCAGTTGGTCATTGCCCTTGATCTACAATAGGGAGACCATGAAAAAAAGATCCATTATGCATGTAGATTCCTGAAAGTTGTATTTGGATAGAAAATTGATGCAATAAATACTTGCCATTTAATAGCTTTCATGCATAACTTCTCAGTTTTCCTTTCTGATTCCTCGTTTTCCCTATTGGTTTTTAGTTTTCCTGCCATAAGCCTTTCGGTTTTTCTATATTGTGGTTGTTTGGTCTTTCCTATATGGTTGTTTGGTCTTCCCATGATTGGTTGTTAGTCTTCCCCATGTTGGTTTCATTTTTCCCTGTTGCTGGCTTTCCATATGCTAGCTATTTTTTCCCTATGCTACTGTCATGTTTTTCTCTGCTGCCAGCTTTCCCTATGCTGGTTGTTTTTCCCCATGTTGTTATCCCATTCTCCTTGTTGCCGGCTGTTCGGTTTCACCTTGTTGTTTTCTATACTAAGTGCATTAACTCCTCATTAAATGGGCTAACTTGAGAGGCATCTATTGGTTGTTTGGGTGGCATAATTAAATGAGCAATTTATGATCATTTCCCCCTTCTTCTCCTCTATGCATGGGCTGTTTTGTTGCTGAAAGGGATTGGTTGTTATTGTTGTTGGTGTAAGCACACTAAAACCAGTGGGTTATTTAACTTGTGAGCTATCTTCTTCTACCTTAATTTTTCTATTTCGTCTCGGTCATCTATCTAATCTTCTCTCCACGGTTTCCCTTCCACCTGTATCTTTCTTCTCAAAATATTGTAAGTGTAAGGTGTTGTTGTGCCCCGTTCGTTGGTATTTGTCGGAAGAGCGTCAACTTGAGCTGGATCATAATTTCTGTGGCGAACCACTTGTTTGATTTTTCCTTTGAGCATCATTCTCAATTTTTGTGATTTGTATGTGAGGTGACCTTACAAGATTGTTCTAAGGGAATTTTAATTTAGTTGTTTGGTTATTTTGTGTACCTTCTAATCAATTTTTTAAGTTTTGTTTCCTACTTAGTTTTCAATATTTGTGTATGTTCATGTTATATTGAAATGGAGTGTAGTCAATTGCATTTCCTAATATTCTCCTACTTGATTTAGAACCTAGATTGCATCAAAAATACAAGAATAAAGTTTAGAACAAACCATTATAAATATTAGAAAACTAGAACTTTATTATTTAACACAGCATCTTGGCAATAAGGTATACAAATTCTAAAGACAAAATTCACTTCCAAACTTTATAAACTAATCTTATTAATGTGTTATTACATAAAGCTTAAGTCAGATCATACTTGTTTCTGGCCCATTTTTTCGCCATTTAACACAACACTGAGTTCGATAATTTTTTTTTCCAAAATTAAAGCATTAAAGACATTCATGCAGACAATCGAGCAGGTGTGCCAACATGCACCAACAGAGACACATGTGAGCATGAATTGTATATGCATAATGTTAGACCGGTCCACGCGGGACCAGCCAGGGCGCGAACGAGGACTCTCCGCCTCCTGCTCTAGCCGCACGCACCGTAGGAGCTAACTGAGCATTTTAGGAAAGATTTTTGAGGAATTTGAGAGGGAATTTTGATTGTAGAGACTGTTTAGGAATCTCCTTTTTATTTGTATGCATTAAATACTTTGTTTTCCTAGGGTTATGGCATCTTGAATTTGACTGAAATTTGAGATCTCCTAGATTTAGGTTGTCTTTGGGCTCTAGCGGCATCTAGAGATTTGGGAGATATCAATCCTCCTCTCGAATAGAGGATCAATTGTATCTTGCTATTTTCCGTTTCCCTTTCATCAAATAATACAAATTATCCACTATTTTTTAGATTTCGTGCGGATTTTTATGAAGAATTCTCGCTGTTTTAAAAAAATTGATAGGAAATACTTGCGATCTACAAGTGTTTCCTATCAAATTGGTATGAGAACAAGTCTTGGGACCATTCGTGGGCCGATTTGGGCGGATTTTGGCGGCTGATTTTTGGCCGGGAAAGGAGAAAGTTGTTGTTTTTGTAATCTAAAATCCTGAATTTTTTTATCTACAAAAATCCGGGGATTGATGGCGGCCAAGAAAGTGGATGCGCTGGAAGAGAGACATGAAGGAGAGATGAGTCGAATAAAAGCAAAAGGTAGATGACCGAATTTCATCCGTGGAAGACAAGGTTTCCGATCTTCATGCAATAATGATGAAGAAGCTCATGGAAAATCAAATTAAAATGGCAGCATCCAAGATAAAGGGGTTGGTGGGAAGAGCAACAAATTTTGAATTTCGTAGGAGGGAAAACGATGTGGAGATCATGGAGGAGATTTTAAGAAGGCTCTTAGAGATGCAAACAAAAGCTTCAAGAGTGATTCTGATGGTTAACCCTAACCAAGCTTTGACTGGGATCCCCTTGGCCGAATCGAAAGGAATGGAGATCAAACAAGATGAGTTTGACGAGGGGAGTTTCTTTCATAAAGACCAACCTTTTGTGGCTCCGATAAGGGGTGGATCAGGGTTTCGGGAGGAGGGGATAACAAAGATGAAATCTTTTGGTGGAGGCGGTAGGAAGGCTGACCACTATGAGAGGTATTTTGGGCAAGGGGAGCCACTCATTTGAGGAGGGGGGCAAGAGCTATCTCTGAGGGCTCCGATAAGGGGCGGAATAGGATTATCGGGAAGGGCATTTCGTGGTGAAGGTGGTGGGGTGGCCGACTCCTATGGGAGGTCTTTTGGGCAAGGAAAGTGGACGACCGAAGGAGGGGGGTGGGCTGAACCATGGGGATCGGGTTATGTGAGCCAAAGGGAAGGAAGGTGGGATTCCCACCCACAATACATGTGGGAAATATGGAGGGATCACGACAACCGCTACACTGGAGGAGGAGGAAGCTATTGGGGTGGTAGTGATCCTAAGGTGAGGAAGTTGGGGATGCCAGTATTTAAAAGGGAGGATGTTTATGAGTGGTTGTATTGGGTGGAGATGTATCTCCTGGTGAATGGGGTAATGGAGGAGAGACTGACGGCAGCAGTCCTATGTTTGGAAGGGAAAGCTTTAGCTTGGTTCCAATGGATGATAGCATGGCAATTAATAGAGCAACTGAAAAAAGTTATCAACAGCATCCCATCTTTCCACCTTGAGGACAAGGTGGATCTTTGGGAGGGGAGTATTGTTAGACCGGTCCAGCCGGTCCATGCGGGACCAACCCAGGTGCGAACGAGGCGGACGTCTCCGCCTCCTGCTCTAGCCGCACACACCGCAGGGGCTAACGGAGCATTTTATGAAGGATTTTTGAGGGATTTGGGAGGGAAATTTGAATGTAGGGACTGTTTATGGATTTCCTTTTGATTTGTATGCATTAAATACTTTGTTTTCCTAGGGTTATGGTATCTTGAATTTGGTTGAAATTTGAGATCTTCTAGATTTAAGATTTCTTTGGGCTCTAACGACGTCTAGAAATTTGGGAGAGATCGATACTCCTCTCGAATAGAGGATCAATTGTATCTTGCTATTTTTCGTTTCCCTTTCATCAAATAATACAAATTATCAACCGTTTTTTAGATTTTGTGCAGATTTTTGTGAAGAATTCTCGCTGTTTTCAGAAGATTGATAGGAAATACTTGCGATCTACAAGTGTTTCCTATCACATAAGCACACAAGTTTTGGATCAAACTATGAATGCATATGTGTAACAATAGCAAATGAAATATGAAAGTTTATTTGGCATAGATCTCATATTAAATTCCAGGCTTCAAATTATCAATAGTCACCAAACTAATGAAAAACATAATATGGTGGCATTTGCCATACATTAATAATACCACCTGCTCTTTCTCGAAAAGAGATTGCTGCAGTCCCTCTAATGTGCTTTCCTTTGCTTCTAATGAGCGAAGCAATTCATCAACACTATCTCTAAGTCTGCAAATGGTTCACATCAATGAAATCATAAATAATTATCATCATGGCCATCATTAGCCTGATCCCAACTATTTGGGGTAGGCAAAAGGAACATAAATAAAGGAAAATCAAAAAGGGCAATAAAAATAAACCATACGAAAGATGCAGTCATGCACTTCACCAAAACAAATTAAGAACAAACATGGCTGTAATGTTACTAAGACAAGAGAAGGAAAAGAAAGAAAAGGATAGGCAAAAATTTTTATTTCAAAAAACAGATGAAAAAACTATGACACAACATTCCATAAACATGTTTTATGAAAATATAAAATTCATGGCATGAAAAATATTATGAAAACAAGAGAAACTATTTACATAAATGCATCACATTAAGTATTCCTAGTTCATCCAAGACTCATAAGGAGAATCTAACTGTTATAAGTACTATTGATCCACAAACTGATGAGACACGACTAGTGGATGAAGGTAAAACCTTAGGCTCTCAAGAGGTTCCAAGTAACGAGTTGGCAAAGAGATAATAGAAAGCAAAAACGCTGGATCTCATGCATCACACTAAAACACAAGCAAATTTTGGCCTAGCAGCACATTCTCAACATGATCAATCAACTTCCTAACATGGACAATTTATTAGAAACAATGTTTGTCGGTCACATTGAACTATGAAAGTGGCTGATAGATATCATTGCCATGATTTACAAAACAATTACTAGTGAATCGCCCCTTGACATGGAACTCTACGGGACCTTCTTATGTTTATAACATCCACACTTGCCTTGAGACTGTTATCTTCGCAATAACTCTGTTTATCCGTCCAACGAAAAATATGTAGTAGTTTCTTTTTATTATGCATTGAAAGCAACCATCCACTCACCCCTAATAACATATTATGGATTCAAAGCATTATGAAACAAGAAACAAATTACTGCCAGGCGCATTCTAGCAAATATTCATTTTTATGTTCATGTTTTTGAAAGTCCAATATGTTCCCTCAACCCTCAACTTCCGTGGGTTGGGTTCAATCATAAGATCTTTCAAATGTCCAGTGAATTTTTGATGGAATTTGCAACACATAGAGTTGAAGAAGTATAAATAGTATAAATGTCATTGTAGAGATTCAACAATTACTTGTTATTTGTTGCACGTAATTGTTGCCTCTCAACATCCATTGAACGTAATGCTTCATTTGCTTGCTGGCGAGTCCGCTCCACTTCTTGTTGTGCTGCAACTTGCTGAGATGATGTTTGTTCAGCCTTCAAAATGATATCATGAAGGCGAGCTTCTAAGTCATCTTTTTCCTAAAAATAAATTGAAAGAACATTGAGCATGATTCATGAAATATACAAAATGCGACATCATCTGAAATGAAAAAAAATGAATAACAAACTGATAGTCAAGCTTAACAAAAACAAGTGAAAAATAGCATAAACCTTTTGAAGTTCTTGAATTCGTTGTTTCGCACGCTTATGAAGCCTTCCAAATTTGGAATCTAGTTCAACATGCTTGTCATCACGTTCTTTTATTTCTCTTTCCATTAGCTGTTGAGCTACAAAAGTTAAACTACATGATGGTTTAAGACTTGACTGTTTCTCAAAAGAGCTTAAATCAATGAATTGCAAAAAATTGAATCATCAGATTAAAGAACAATTATCATACATGGAAAAATTCCCATATGAAATTACATTTTGCAAATTAGGATCAGCACAATAAACATCCATGATAAGCAGGAATATCCCAGTACTGGTAATTTTTTAATGATAATCATGAAACGGTTAGGTCTTCCTCATAATTTTGGAATCTTAGAAAAAGCTTAAGACGCCATATCTTATACTGGAACTACATTTGCATAGCTTTTTGATAGGAAATACTTGATTCCAAGTATTTCCTAATCACTTTAGCCAAAGATCTCACAGCAAACTGCTGTCCACAGCAGGAAATCAGCCAAAACAGTGGGAAAACGCGAGAAAAACGATAGAAACACGAAGTAAGAACTTGTATTTTACTAGAAGATGAAAGGACAATAGCAAAGATACAAGGATCCTCTATTCGAGAGGAGGATCTCACTCTCCCAATCTCTAGAATTCAATCTAGAGCCCTAGCCCCCAAAGAAGAACAAGAAAAACTTTCACAAAATATCTCATAACCCTAATCCCCCCTTTTCTCCCCTACTTAATGCATACAATTCAAATCTAAAACAAAAGGACCTAATTACCCTTGCTTCCCCTCCTTTTGGCTCCAAGAAACAATTCAAACTTCAAGTGGACCCCACCCCTCTCCCTTCTTCTTGTGTCCGCCGGCCCTCCTGGCGTAGACGAACAAAGCCGGCCCAAGGGGCTGGGCCGGCTGGACCGGTCTAACATTACCGCCCTCCTAAAGAACCCTCCCAAAGAGTCACCTTATCCTCAAGGTGGAATGTGAAAAACTGAAGCTTTACCCTCCCGTATGGCTCCCATGTGGAATCATAGTCAGGTAGGTTCTTCCATTTAATCAACATCTCCTTGGGCTCTCCCTCTCCCTATCGTACCCCTTGAAGCTCTAGTAGTTCCAAATTCACCTCTAAATCCTCTGTCAGCGGCCCTGGTAAAATGAACTGGATGCATGATCCCCCACAACTCTCCTCAACTATGATATGTGTAACACAGGGTGTATGGAAAACGGTCGAGGGTAACTTCAAGCAATAGACCACTGCTTCAATCCTCTCCAACACCTCATATGGGCCAAAGTACCTCGAGGCTAGTTTTTCATTCCTTCTATTGGCTACTATCCTCTGTCTGTAGGGTCACAGCTTTAAAAATACCCTATCCCCAATGACAAACTGGATGTCATTCATATGTCAATCCACCTGCTTCTTCATAATTTGTTGAGCCCTTAGTAGATGTTTTTTTAACTCCTCCAACACCTTGCCCTTTCCTCCAGGTACTGCTCTGCTGAAGATACTGGTGTGCGACTCTGCCCAAAATGTACCAAATGTGGAGGGTCTCTCCCGTACAGCACTTTGAAAGGAGTCATCTGGGAGGCTAAGGGGTATGAAGTGTTATACCAGTATTTTGCCCATGTCAGCCACTTTTTCCATGCCCTAGGTGTTTTGGAGCAAAACACCATTAGTATGTCTCCAAGAGTTCACTACTTATGAGTTATGTCTACTCGTCTGTCTGGGGTGTTAAGTGGGGCTCCTCTTCAACATTGTCCCTTGTAGCCTGAACAGTTCCCTCCAAAAATGACTGAGGAACACCTTGTATTTATCAGATAATATAGACTTTGGTATCTCATGTAGCATGTCAACCTCCTGATAAATGCGGTCACTACTGTCAGGATGTCGTAGGGGATGAAGTGAGCGTACTTACTCAACCTATCAACTACCACCAGAGTCATAGTGAACCCTTCTGATCGAGGTAACCCATCAATAAAGTCCATGGTGACCTCCTCCCACACCCTGTTAGGTAGGGCAAATTATTAGGTCCGGTCACCGGACCTAAAAATAGGTTCGGACATCCAATTAAAACTTGCCACATCACCTGTGCTTTGACTGCGCTTTGACTACAATTTGACTGCGCTTTAACTGCACTTTAATTGCGCTTTGCCTGCGCTTTACCTGCGCTTTTGATGCGCTTAATTTAAAATAATATTTTATTAATATCTGAACCTATCTCCGCGTTCGGTGACTGGATGTAATAATTTGTCGTTATGTATAGCTAGGGGTTGAAGTAACCCCCTAGGAACCATGGCAATGTACTTATTCTGCTGGCACACCTCACATCTAGCCACCATCTCTTTCACATTCTTATACATCCCCTTCCAATACAGTTTTGATATTAATCTCATGTATGTCTTCTGCACACCAGAGTGACCTCCAACAGTGCTCCCGTGGAATTCTTACACCAGTTGTGGGACATAAACTAAGGTCCTACGCATCACAAACCTCCCCTGGTAAAACAATCTCTCCCCCTCTAGTAAGTATCCTGGGTAACTGTTCTCATCCTTCAGAATATGCTCTAATTTTTCACAACTCCTCATCCTGCATACTCTCATCCTTGATAGCCCCTCAATCCAGCATTAGTGGTATCGACATAGCCAACTCTTGGAGCTCCCCCATGCACCTGGACAAGGCATCCACCACCTTGTTCTCTAATCCTGGCTTATAATGAATCTCAAAATCATTGTCTAATAGCTTTGACAACCATCTCTGATACTCAATCATCATCCCTTGCTCCAACATGAACTTTAAGCTCCTCTGGTCCATCCTAATAATGAAATGTTGACCCAACAAGCATGATCGTCACTTCTGAATGGCTACCACAATAGCCATCAATTCCCTCTCATAGACTGACTTCAACCTAGCTCAGGCTGTCAACACTTGGCTGAAGTAGACTATGGGTCTGTGATTCTGCATGAGCACGGCCCCCAACCCATATCCTGATGCATCCGTCTCCACCACAACAATCTAACTAAAATATGATAGGGCCAAAACCGGTGTTGTGGTCATGACTTTCTTCAGTCTCTCAAAGGCTCATGTAGCTGCATCTCCCCACAAGAAGTTATCCTTCTTTAGTTACTTAGTTAATGGCCAATTTATGGTGTTATATCCTCTCACAAATTTCCTATAGTACCCCGTTAAGAACGTGGTGGTCATCCTGTAC